TAGCGAATTACAGTAATATTGATGAGAAACGGTCACTTGTTGTATTTTATATATTTTATAACACTATATGCAATGCAATATATATTTGCTTCCATTTTAATCAATCCTGTTTTCTACGCAACAATTAGCAGAACATGTCTGCCACATATAAATGTATGTCATGTTTTTATTTCCTATAAAACCCCAGATCCAAGTTAACATGTTTTGTACAGTGGCGATATACGGTGCATTTTGTTGTCGTCATAGGTGGATTTTCGCGGAATAGCACTTTTCAGATATGTATAAGATATCGCATATGGTACGAGTGAGCACATTAAACGTACTATGATTTTTAATATATTGCATCTTTATCGATTTTCACAAATCATTTCTCGTTATATCATTCATTACATATCATGTGTGCGCGTATGTGTTGAACAAAGTACAAACGATGTGATTTAAATAGATTTCATTAAAATCATAACATAATCAAATCAAATCAAATACCTATAGTTGATTCGTTTTTATCAAAATGCTTAGAAATGCACAGTTCACGCAATATAACGTATACTACGACCGATTCATGGCTTAAGAAAGTCTGGTATTATCTCATTTGATCGTTTTTATATTTTTCTAAAAACTGAGATATATATATATAACTATTTATTGGAGTGTCGCATATTTTATGTATGAACCATTAAAAAAGAATCAAAACATACGTTCACGTTTCTACAATTTCGTTTTCCACAGAAAATTTGTTTTAATGATCTAATATTAGCTATGTAATTAACCCGGGTATATTTACATGGAAACATAAAAAGCAATGCCTAAACGTATGTATAGCGACCAAATCTACCAAAGTACAAAATTGCAATCAAAATATATTCATTATTAAGATATTCTATGTTGCATTATAATTAATTAAAACCCAGAAAACTTTCCGCGGAAATGAAGTTGAGACAAAATGTACAGAAATTTTCCGAAATTTGTAAACGATTCCGACCACGCTTAACAAGGTATTGACCTGCATAAGAGGACTAATTTGTTCTCAACCTTCGCACCCCGGAAGCAGACCTATGAAAACACCCAACGTGTTCCGTATTTAACGTTAGGCTTAAGGTAAATACCAGCTGGCAAGGATCACATCGTAATAGTCTAAGAAACCTGTTTCAAAACGCAGCCAACTCGATCCATCGAACAAAGAAGATTGTTAGGCCACCTTGCACTCTTTGCTCGAGCTGAGATTCTTTTAAGTATGGCTTGTGCACTATCGTGTGTGGAAAAGTATATCACATAGCGTTACCAGTATTCAGGAAGCGCGCAGAACTAGCTATATTATTATGAGCAACCTGGCACATTTCCAGTGCACATTTCATTGATAATAGCTTCGATTTTCTAATACGTACGTACAACGTAAACCAATGCCTAAATATAGGTTATCATCACGTTTCTAACTAGCGATTGTCATGCGTGAGAACGGTAAATACTAAATAACGCGGTAGGTGCACGAAAATTAATAAATTTCAGTGCCTGCAGCCTTTGAACCCAAAATTCGGTGTCCTAAATCTTATCTAAGATTTGGTTATATGCCTAAACTACGGCCACCGCTAATATTTCCACTCGCAGGGATTATGCGCAAACACAGATCTTACCCTATGCTACGGAAAAGTTAAGATTTCGGTAACGGGGCGCCACAGTCTCACTTAAGTCAGGCATTCTGACAGACGATTCTCATATAAAGCTACCAAGTTAATTATACAGTTCATTGCCGTGATAAGTGGCTTTCTTGCCTCAGTTAGCCAGAGTCATATATATGCTAGAGGTCGCGCAATAAGCTTCCAGAAGGGTCACATGTGTTGAACTGGTCAGAGGCAATCGATAGACCAAACAAATATGCCGGTTATTTGGTCAGCTTTCTTGGAAGAAACTGCACTAAAGACCTTATTCCAGGGATGGGGCCCAGCTGAGGAGACTTGACCATAGCTATCTACAGGCTTAGGTCCCCGGCCCGTGGCTAGCTGGGGTGAAGGTGGGAGACAAATAATAGTGTTGATACAATTACGTGGTCAATGGCGTATTAAACTATTTCATAAACAACACTGAGTAATTTAGTGGTTACAAGCCCATCGATTTTTGATACCTTGATTATATGCTAATCTAATATATACCTAATGCCTATATGCCAATCTCTGCTTGATCTAAAATGGAACATTATATTATGCAACAAGACATCAGGTAGCATATATATGCAATTATTGTGCGTGTACCAATGTTATACCATTACAAGTGTGTACCCACATATATATATATTAGTTATGAGTAAATTGTAAGCTCATTAATTACAAGGACAGACTTGATCATAAGCATTTATCTTAAGCCAACAAGCCCCGGTGTCGGGAACTCTCTGGTACCACCTTAGATAGATGGATGGATGAATATATATGGATATATGGATGGATGGATAGATGGACGGATGGATGGATATGAATGGATGGATAGATAGATAGATAGATAGATAGATAGATAGATAGATAGATAGATAGATAA